GCTTCCTGTAGTCAGCCGCTGGTCAGTTTCAGCAGCAGCGGCTGAATCTGGAGCCAGTTCTGAGTTACATACAAATTCAACTTAAGAACAAACCTATAGTCCCTATCTTGTACGTAACCCGGGGACTGCCTGTAAATGAACATCATATTTACATTCCTGAAAACAGAAGCTCAATTAGGCGTGATTGATAGAGCCCTGCAAATCCCTGGTTATCTGCTATCTATCCGTTGGTGTTCACATCTGCGGTGCAGATATCCATGGATACCAATTTTGTTTCCGTTTAGAGCTTTAGTGATTGAAATATTGCAAAAGACATTTGAAGTAAGAAGTTAGACAGATGGTTAGCCTGTTTAAAGTTAAGTAGTTTCTAGGAATTGTATTATGATTTTGTTTTATATGTAACCTTTCTGTTTCTATCACTCTAACTCATTCTCTCAAATCTTAAACAGTGATAATAAACTGGTACATAAGAATGGCCATGCTGGGTAAGACCAATGGTTTCCTAGCTCAGTAGTCTGTCTTTTGATTAGCCAGTCAGTGCTTCAGAGGGAATGAACAGAACATAGCACATAATTATTGAGTGATTCGTCCCGTTTGATCCAGCTTCTGGCAAATAGCTTTTCATTATATATTTGTTTCTGTGTTATGATGTTAGACAGGAGCTGATTGAATAAAAAAAGCTGGTGTATATGCTGTTTGGGGACAGCTAACTAGTAATTAGGGTTGTGAATGATTAACTGGCAGGGTGGATTTGATTTAAAAGTGTATTATTGTTGGTTGTTATAACCTTAATACATATTCTTCACAACTCAGAGAGATGTCGCTTTAATTTTTAGAAAGTACAGACCTTATACATTTTTAAACAGTGATTTATTTTGAAAACTTTTAAAGTTAGTTTTACAGCTATATTAGAAAATAAATGATTGTTACTATTCCACCCCTAACAATCTTCTATTCATTGAATTTTTTGAAACATTGCACTTTTAAAGAGAGGTAAGGAATTGACTGTGTGCACAAATTTGCAGAGGGACAGTAGGATTCAGATCTGTTATTTCTCACATATATACACTCACTTTTGCTCTTAACATGCATACTATATCTGGAGACAGAAATCCACAGTTGGAGAATTGCAAAACTAAGCATCTCTGATGGTATGTTCTGGCACTGAGTCCCATTGGGTAGGTAGAGAGATTAACCTAAATCTATACTGAAACCTCTGGAATCCCATAAAATTGGGTCCGTAATTCATGAACTACTGGAACTCGTTTACAAAACTTTTCTTAAACATTACATGAATTGTCTCATACTATAGAATTAGAATTTATAATCCGCATTCCATGATGGGGTATCTTTGAGCTACTATGTACAGTAAAACTCCATTTAGTTCGG